ACAGTGAGGAAGAAAAACTAAGTTGTGAACGACGATTAACTATTGAAGAATGTGCCAAAACACTGGATACTTTTGGAAATGGAAAGACAGTATATGTACAAAATTTTACAAATTAAACTTTTTGGAGCTCCGTAGGTGAGCTCATGACCGATGCTTTTAATTGCTCTTTTGACTCAGGAGAAATGTAAAATTCAGAAAAACAGGCAATTATTGCATTTATTGATAAAACAGGTAAAGATCGAATGTATTTGGAAAACTGGAGGCTGACTTCATCAGTCAATGCTGACTCCAGGCTTGCTTCTAAGGTCATCAACAGAATCAAAAAAGTCCTTCCTTAAATAATCCATCATAATCAAGTTCTGACTGGTGCACTATCCCCTCGGGGGTACCTCAGGGGTCCATCATGGGCCCCTTGTTTTTTGTGATATTTATTAATGATCTGCCTCATGCTATTTCCTCTGGGAGTATGGTGGCACTGTATGCAGATGACTGTTAAGCCTCAAGAGTTATCTAACGTCCATGTGATAAATGAATCATTTCAAGAAGATCTCAACAATCTGGCTCCTGGGCAAAAAAAAAAAAAAAAAAATTAAATGAGCTTTAACACAAAGAAATGTAGGTTATTGCAGATCACTAAAAAATGATCTTCAATCTCTGCTCCTCTACTACTGGATGGTACTCCCCTTGAAGCTACTACTGAGCCCTCTGATCTTGGTTTATTAACTGATTACAAATTGGCATGGAACTCTCACATAGACAAGATCACCAGCATGGCGAATAAAGTGCTTGGTTTACTCAAAAGAAATTGCAGAGATTTGAGAGATACTTTATTTCTATGCTCAGAACTCTTTATTGTGCCCTGGTTAGGCCTCAACTTGAATGTCACCCTTCACTGCCGGAAATATCATGACTTTGGAAAGAGTGCAACGTCAAGCTATGAAGTTTACTTTAAAATGTGAAGATGACTACAATATTCGCAACTCTAAGCTTAATCTGCTGTCCTTGGAATGTAGGCGATTTCTTTTTGATGTGTTATTTTTTTGTAACTTCTTGAATGGATATGTTGACATTGAGAACTCCTCAACTGTTCAGTTTTACACTGATACTGCTAGGTACCCTTTCAGAGGGAAAGAAGGACTTTAAAGAAGAATTATGCCCATACAAACACTTTTAAGTCTAGTTTTTTTAATCGTATTGTTGATATGTGGAATTCACTCCCACTTTCAACTAGATCAGCATCTTGTATCTCAAGTTTTAAGTGTGGTGTGAGGAACTTCTTGATGAATCCCAACTACACTGGTAAAATTACCAAAAACTCATGGTCACATATTTTAGAATTTTTATATCAGATTTTAATGAACTATATTTATTATAATTATTAAATTATATTTGCAAACTATATATTTAGTTNGGTAGATTTATTGGAGAGGTTGTTTGCTCAATTCTCAACATTATCGATCACGCTGAATTGTTTAAGATACCTGGTATTCTACTGTTTATAGATTTTGAAGAAGCCTTTGACTCTATTGAATGGGATTTTCTTTATCGATCACTAGAGGCCTTCAATTTTGGTCCAACCCTAATAAGATGAATAAAAACATTTAAAAAACTCTTGAGTTGTGTTTATAATAATAGCTTATTTTCCAAGCCTCTTAGGTTAGAAAGAGGTGTAACGCAAGGCAACTCTTTGTCACCCTATTTATGTGTTGTGGCAAATGAAATTTTAGTTATATCTCTTAGATCAAATGAGCATGTTAAAGGCATAAAAATCGATAATGATCAAAGTAGAACACTCCTATATGCCAATGATATGACTACTACTCTGGTGAACACCTATTCGGTAGAAATCATCTTGCAAATCCTGAACAATTTTGAAAAACTGCTTTGGTTTAAAAATGAATAATTTATTTAAAAAACCAAAGTGATATGGATTGGGGCAAATAAGAATTCATGAGCAAAACGTATGGGTCTTGAGTGGTACACTGGAGTTAAAATCCAAGGAATTCACTTCTCGTGTGATCAAGAAAAGGTCATTGAACAAAATTTTCATGAAAGATTAAGTGACATCCAAAAAATGATCAACCAATCATGAATGGAGTTTGAGGGATTTGTCCTTGTTTGGCAAAGTGACCATTACAAAATAGTTTCTTATACCAAAGCTGTTAAACACTTTGAAAATATTGGAAACCCCACAAGAAATCATTAAACAGATGGAGACTATGATATAAAAATTGTTGTGGAAAGGTCCAGATAAAGTG